CAGGGGGGTTGGAACTGAATGGTCTTTAAGGGCCCTTCCAACCCAAACCATTCTGTGATTCTGTGAAATCAGACTGCAGATTCGTGCCTTTTAATTTGGAGCTTGATTACTTGGGCTCACCTGAGTGATACAGTTTAGAAATAAGGCTCATATACAGGTACCTGTCTTTGTATTATATCTGTGACTAAAAATCTGTCACTGCTAAGACCTTTCATAAAGTAAAATATGTATTGTAGATATTTCACTTAAAGTTTTTTTGGCCAGTATTTTTTAAAGCTCGCATAATTTAATAAAATGAGGTTCATCTGCAAGATGTGGGCTAGAATTTAAAGAATCCATGTTTCGTGGGGATCATGCTCTGGGGTGGTTGTTTGACCAATTACACAGATCAAGGATATTTACAGAATGAGACACAAAATCTTGGTGTCAGAGATGTCTGGAGTTGTAGAACAATCAAGGCTCTCTGTGGCACTGAGTGAGGGAGGCAGAAGCCTTCATCCTTTTGGTCAAAACCAGCACCAGTGCTATACTACCAATTGAGGAGCTGTGTTTTGAAACAACAGCTACTGTGCCATAGGTATGCTGTTATGAAGTGCCTTGCTCTTTAAAAATCTCAACAGTGAGTATCACTTTTTTTTTTTAACTGAAAACTGCCTAAAATCTCAGAAGTGAACATCATATCTTCAAGCTTCTCTGACTAAAGAGCTTTGGGAAGAGTGTATTTGTCATTATGTTTAATTTGCACATACCTCACCAAAGAAAAGGCCAGGGGAGCTAGGCCGAGAACACAGCTGTACAGGCAGCTCAACTAATTGCCTCTCCATCCTCAACCTCATTTATCTTCATTTCTTCCCAATTATACCAAATTATCAATAGTCTCTGTTGCATCAGAGTCTTAATCCCCTTTATTCAGGCAGCATTAGATAGTGGCAGATGAATTCTTGGAGGGAGTCAGGGTAAACAGCCATGAAATGCCACCTCTGGCAGATGGCATTGCTCACAAGAAATGTGACAAAACATTTGGAATTTGTTACTAGGCATTGGTATGAGAAGGCAAGCTGTCAATATTTTTTTAAATGATAATCAAGGTGGTGCATACTTATACCACAAGCAGAAATGAATCCTGTCCAAAACTTCAAGCTTAGTTAAGTTCAGCTTGGCACTGCGCTATTGTATTTTGCTGCTGAAGCCTCACCCTTTTTCTTCTTAAGAAATATTTTCACTTCATCTGGTATTAATATCAACATTTAGTAATGTTTTTTCTGATGATAGTTGTTATTTGTGGTCCTACGTACCTCAGAAAGAAATGTTAGTTTGAAGACATAGAAATTCTTTACACAATAACTAATTTAGGGTATGTTTTCTTGAATAGTTTCTTTGGCACTGTTGGTCCTTTCTTGATCCTGTTCCATAGAGAAGCTAAGGCAAAGTTCCCACTGAGGAGAATTGCGGCAGAGATTAGATGAGAGTGCCTACTGGCTAGGTTTGCTGAATGATGACCATGTGCTGTGGTGGGTATACATTCAGCTATTGCTATAGGTAAAAATAAAGTGGTTTTTTTTAAAGGAGTACAAAATTGGCTGCTAATATAGTTCAAGATGGTTTTGCCTGTTATTTTTAGACTGCCATTAAATGAAACACAGTAGATTTCACTGCTGACCTTTTGTGTGAATTAGGTTTACTCACAGGCTCTCCTGGTTTTGGCAACATTCTGCATTTTTTGGAAGTCAGTAATAACTTAGCACAAGGAATCAAATGCCAGATACTAAAAACGGTGTTTCTTCAGATTTAGTATGTACCTTGCCAATGCTCCCCTTACTGACACAAGTTGTTGGAACTGTGCAAGTGTAAGTGTCTGCGTTACTGATCCTTCATGGAAGCTGGGGCTTAGGACAGTGAATCTTCTTGGAGAGCCTCTACAGTAACAGCATCAATATAAAAGGATGTTAGGCATCTCCTTTGCAACCTCTCATTCTCTAGGAAAATTTCCAACATCATTGAGTTCTGTGTAGCTGCTTCAAGTTGGCAGGGGTTTGGAAGATTGTCTAAATGTGTATGTGTGAAGTGCCACAGACTCTATTTAATTCTTTCAAGCCTTACTTTATATTACACAGAGTTCTTTTAGCATTAAGAGTTTTTGAAAAGATTATAAATACATAATTCATTTATGTCATTACAAATTAACTTAGAAGATTACAATCTGTATCTTAAACCATTCATAATAATTACTTCAAAGAAATAATGAATGATAAATTGTTGAAACTTGAATGATCTGATGCTGTACCATAGCATTACCTGTCTGCTGTGGATGTCAAGACGTTTTCAAAGCCTCTCAAAATCAAGCTAAACTACCTTGCTATTTACAGTCACAGTAAAAATATATGGTACCTATATCTCAATAGTTGTTTCAGTAAATTGTTTAATGTGGGAAAATACTAAGTAATCAAAAAAAAGTTCTTGCTTGCTGGCTGCAGTTGTTTTGAAGTATGTATGGCTTATCCTTTCTGGCAGCCAGCCCTACAAACTGCATTCACGATCTGAAAGTTAAGCTGGTTTATTTCTGGCTTGTGCATCATCATCAGTAATAAAAACATGACAGATTAAAATTTTGACCTTATTTCTATCTGTGAAATGAACGTGTTTCTGAAGACAGACTTTGGTCCTACAGTAGAAAACAGTTAATTTTTTTTGTTGATGATCCTAACCCAGAGGAAGTGTCATGTTCTAGGGCAATATTGTTATCTTTGTATAGAAAAATGAATAGTGATATAGTCACACACTTATTACTAAAAGTGTTAGCAATAACCATTCAGAGTGCAGAGTGGAGCAGATCAGATGTGCAAGAATGAACCAGAGCCCGGTGGTTACATTTCAAAATAGTATTGAAGATTTAAGGGTTGTCCTCTTCTGAGTGCACTGTCATGGCATCTGTTGAAGTAATGATCTGTGCAGATTTTTGTAAGCCCTCTTTTGTCAAAAGCACAATCTGTAAGTTCTCAGGGGTAGGAGTCTCCCTGACCCAACTTTCCAATAACAATGCAAAGGTATATTGGCTGCCCACTGGCTCAGACTTGCTGAGGTTCATACAACAGCACCTTGAGTGACAGAGAATAGGGGACATTCATTATCTCTCAGGAAAGGGATTGTGTATGCTTCTGACACTGACATAGATCCAAAAGGAAGTTTAGGTTTTAACTATAAATTCCCTAATTCCAACAGTAATACTACACATTCTATAGAAGAAACTGGATAGGGATTTACTGCTTACTATTTCATCCACGACAAGAACTCCAGGACGTCAGAGGAAAGCAGTAAATGCCAAGTTAACCCTCTGAAAACACACCTACAAATAATATGAGGTAGCTTTTCATACAGTACATAGGCAAGCTGTGGAACTCCTTGCTACAGGATGTTGTAGATGCAAAAATTGACATCCATTTAATTTAATGGAAGAAAAATCTATTAAAGGTTATTAAATTCAAGGAAAGTACCTCTGTTTCAGGAAGTTCCAGATTCATAAATTGTTGGAGAGTATTCTGGGAAATTGTCACTATAGGTTTTCTCTGTATTTAATCTCTTCAGTAAGTATTGCTTCTGGCCCTTGTTGTTGACAAGGTATTTGTCTAGATGGACTATAGCTGTTTGTATGCAGTCATTCTGGGAGCCAGTATCCCTTTAGTTATATTGTCCCTCCCTCCTGAAATACCATGGCTACCGCTTAGGAAGCCGTAAATATCTGATGTTTGATATGAAGATTACAAGCTTCTCCCCGCCCTCCATTATCACATGGTTAACGATCAGGTAACAAAGAAGCAAAGACTTCATTTCTTCATTATCAGGCCTTTTCTCCAGCCTGTCAGATTCCTTCCTAGCCGAGAAGCAACTTGTTTCAATTAATATTTATGCATGACTAAAATCAGCACAAGAAAAGATGAAAATGGGTACAGGTAGCTAACTTTGAGAAATGCTTTTGAATATTACTGTATTTTAATGAAAATTGTTATAATAGTCTGTATCTAGCCTTCTATAAATGTGGTGTTTCATCTTACTAAACCTAACTTCAGTGGAGTGCTTTGGTGGTATCGGTTGAATCGGCTGACCCTTTGAGGTACGTTCAGTATTTTGAGTTTAAATGAAGATGCTGCCACTTTGAGCGGTTTGTGGTTTTAGCTAACTAGTGCCTTACATCATACTGCGTTTCCTTTCCTTTCCCTGCATCTTTTCGTTTGTTTTGCAACATTTTTCTATTTTTTTTTAATATTAGTCACTTAAGGAAAGGGCCAGCCATATGTTATCACTTGTGTACAGAAGAGTGTCTTTCTGAAAAGATTTCATTGCTGCAGCCAGTTGTTCTCTACACTGGTCTTAGAAAGTAGGAGAAAACACCCTGCCATATTTTAGTAACCATCAACATTTTTGTGTATGTAATTTGAAGGGATGAATGACCGAGGCTGTTGTGAGAGAGAGAA